CTACAAACACTTTTGCACCACCACTCCATCATCAACAATCCATCAACACACCACCATGACCACTTCACCATCAACACAACACCAACACCTCGTTCTTCCATCTTCCCTTTTATCCCTTTTTTGTTCTTCTCATTGATTTTCCCTCCCTCTCTTATCCCCACAGCCTCGGCCACTCACCCTCACCAACACCTCACCTTCCTTAGAGACTTAGACACAGTAGTTTCAGTGCTTCCTAATATTGTTTGATAGCAGAGGAAAATTACGGGTTATTCATGCCCGTGCCACCTCTTGGGGGGCTTAATCTTTATCAGTCATCAAGAGGGGCGAAGCAGGGGGTGGGGGGGTTGTGGAGGGGTTGTGACTATATAACCCAGGCTATATTCCGCTGCTCAGAAATTGTAACCACTTGTTCTCTGCTTTTGATGATGTTGACAAGAGTCGACGAAACGCATCTCTCAGCGTCAGGCTCTAATAAAACTCTAAACTCAACTTCGGAGAGTTAATTCTGGCAACTTCCTTCTCAAATAAAGAAAAACTTATAAAATTGAGAAGATTCCTACTTGAATCACTGACCTCAACCTTTCTCCAATATTCAGTAACATATGTCTACGAGACTGCTACCTAAATATTTTAATTAACACCTATAAGACAGAATTTCTGTCTGTTTGTCTATCCAGTGTTGGAGGCCAGAGGCTTGGGGCTGGCCTCAAAAGTTTGTAGAGTAAGTGGTCTGGGGTAGGGGATGGTCACAGGCTGCTCGGGGTAAACCTGAGTCAAATAATTTAAGAAATATTAATATTTATCCACAACCCCAGAGCATAGCAATGGAGTATTTCACGCGTCAAGTGTGAAGTATGGCGGGTGATTACCATAGTTGTCAACAGAAAATCTTGTGATGGGACCGCTTCATATAGTCTAGGGTAGCTGCACTAATGCAGATGTACCTAATATGTTAATAAAAAAAAAAATCACATGCCTCTGTATGACTAACCATCCTGTGTGATGGGGATTTTTTAGCATCACCTAGTTAGCTTTTTTGACACACTGTACTCCACATCATATAGTCTAGGGTAGCTGCACTAATGCAGATGTACCTCATGTATTAATAAAAAAAAAAAAAAAAAAAAAAGGGACTATCAGTGTCAGGTTAAATAACTGGCCGACCTCCACACAAACAGAACTAGCAGCACTACAACTAGCTACCAAAACTTTCAAAATACAAAGGAGGAATAATATTTTGTTATTCAAAGTCTTGTTATTCTTGAGATTCAAAGTTAAACCTGCAATTGAAAACTGCAAAATCGACACCAAAAAGTTCATACTAGCAATTATAAATGACCTGATCGCTGCAGTGAAGGGTTTCGAATATTTTTTTATGGATACCATCTTACATAAATATAACCCATCATAATGGTATTGCAGGCAAATTAGATGATGTAACAAAGATGAAGTTGAATTAGCTCTAGGTATCCCTATCTCTACCCTCAAGACTATATTGTTCCAAACACTCAGGTCTGATAGGAGAGCAATTACTGACTCCCAACGACCTGAAAGCACCAATATAAAAAGCTATGATTTGTTCAGATCTGAAACCTATCTTTATGGGCAGCACAAAACGTCTACCAGACTGTGCGACACAGTGGTTGCCAGGATCAGGTTGGGTTACCGTTACCTGTAGCAGGTGGCTATCGTTACCTGTGGCAGGTGGCTATCGTTACCTGTGGCAGGTGGCTACCGTTACCTGTGGCAGGTGGCTACCGTTACCTGTGGCAGGTGGCTACCGTTACCTATGGCAGGTGGCTATCGTTACCTGTGGCAGGTGGCTACCGTTACCTGTGGCAGGTGGCTACCGTTACCTATGGCAGGTGGCTACCGTTACCTGTGGCAGGTGGCTACAGGTGACGGATCTCCCAATCCTGAGCACTCCAGCTGCAAACTCTATGAGCAGGCACTGGGACATGAGCTCGCACACTACTTCACTGACTGCCCAGTTATCAGACCATTCAGACCAGTTGGCATGAGGTACCTGGAGCTTTGCAATTACTTTATTCACTCTCGTGTTCTAGAGGATATCCTCACAATGCACCCAAAATTTGAGATAAATTGCTAGAGAGAGAAAGAGATAGATATAGATATGTGAATGTGGAGATAGAGAGACAGACAGACCCGGACAACGCCGGGTACCCCCTAGTGTGTGTGTGTATAATATAACAAATCTCAAAACGAGGAAAAATAGTTATATTCTTATTATTTAAAAAAAAGCATCTATGATCTCATATTGTTTAGTATTCTGATGCCTAATTATAGCCTCCAAATGAGTAGCAATTACACCAGATAAAATGTGAACTAAACCTGTACCAAATGATTACTTCCAAAAGGTTTTTAAGACTTTGTTAGTGGTCAAATTATTGACGTTCATTCACATTAGAATCGTAATTATCCAACTCTCGACAAATAAAAGGCACCACAGATATACACCATTTAAAAATAACGACTTAAAAGGCCTTGTGTGTGTGTCCTCCACGCAGACAATCTCTCGCAGAAGTCTGTACAATTATGTGATGGATGAGCGCAGACTTCAGACTTATTATGGACACTTGAGAGTGACTGATAATGCTCCACAGCTATGTGGTGTAACTTATAAATATGTTGGGTGGTATGTAGGGTATGTTGGGCGGGATATCAGGTATGGTGGGTGGTATGTTGGGCGGGATATAAGGTATGGTGGGTGGTATGTTGGGCGGGATATCAGGTATGGTGGGTGGTATGTTGGGTATGTTGGGCGGGATATAAGGTATGGTGGGTGGTATGTTGGGCGGGATATCAGGTATGGTGGGTGGTATGTAGGGTATGTTGGGCGGGATATAAGGTATGGTGGGTGGTATGTAGGGTATGTTGGGCGGGATATAAGGTATGGTAGGTGAGATATAAGGTATGGTGGGTATATAACATCAAATATAATAAAAGTTTTTGAAAGAGGATTCAAATCTTCAGTTTTATGGTAAACAATGAACTTTACAACTCAGGTTAATATGGATCTAGAACAAACAGGAAGGTCATGTCTTTCACAGTTACTCAACCACTATAGCAAAATCACAAAATAACTAGAAGAAAACAAAATGCAGATGTACTATACACAGACTTTTCCAAGATATGACCATGGAATGATAGCCTCATAAAATGAGGTCAATATGAATAACGGGTAAAGTGGGGCGTTGAATTTTCTAAATTTTGTCAAACGGAATGCAAAGAGTAACAGTCAATCAAATAAATCAAGTCCAAGTGCATTGAATCAAGTCCAAGTGCATTGAAGAGCTCTGTACCCCAGTGGTGCACAGTCCTTGCACCACTGCTCTTTCTCATTCTTTATCTCGGATATAGACAAAAATACTAGTCACAGCTTCATGTCATCCTTAGCAGATTATACAAAAATCAGCATGAAAATTTCCTCTGTAGAAGACACTGACAAACTACAAGCCGATATTAATAAAGTCTTCGACTGAGCAGCGGAAAATAACATGATGTTTAACAGTGATAAGTTCCGGATATTAAGGTATTGTGGAAACGAGGAACTTAAACGAAACACAGGGTACAGGACTCGATCAGACCTACTCATAGAAGCAAAGCCATATATAAAAGATCTAGGAATTATGATGTCTGGCGACCTGACATTTAATGAACATAACCGAACAAATATAGCGGCGGCCAGGACAGTGATAAGATGGATTATGAGAACGTTCAAATCCAGTGACCCCGCAGCAATGCTAATACTATTTAAATCACAGGTGCTGTCCCATCTTGGAGGGAATACAGACAAGATATACGACACGCAAAGACACGATAAAAACACCTAAATTATTGGGACCGTCTCAAAGCTCTCAAAATGATACCTCTTTGGTCTCTGGAAAGGAGACGAAAGAGGTATCAAATAATATATATATGGAAGATACTTGAAGACCAGGTCCCAAATGTACACAGTATAATAACAACATACTGGAGAGAGAGATACGGAAGGAAATGCAGAATAGAACCAGTGATGAGTAAGGGTGCCATAAGCACAGAGAGCACTGTCTGAACATTAGAGGTCCACGGATGTTCAACACCCTCCCAGCAAACATGTGAAATATTGCCGGAACAAAGGTGGATATCTTCAAGAAGCATTTAGATAAGTTCCTACAAAAAGTGCAGGACCAACTGGGTTGAAGTGGATATGTGGGTCTGCCGGCCGCTCCAAGCAACAGCCTGTTGAACTAAGTTATCACAAAAAAGCGAGGAATAAAAGATCTCCCAGAACCCTCTCCAAGAATCTTGGGTTCCATTATATATATGGTGGGTGGTATATAGTGTATGGTGGGTGGTATATAAGGTATGGTGGGTGGTATATAAGGTATGGTGGGTGGTATATAAGGTTTGGTGGGTGGTATATAATGTATGGTGTCCGCACTAAGAGTATATAGGCTGAAGCATGAGGTGTGACAAGTTATGAGGCTAGCAGTACACCACACACACACACACACACACACACACACACACACACACACACACACACATCCTCTGGAAAACCTGCCCTCAGATACGCTCCACCCTCATCTATTGACTCAACAGCCTCCTGGACCGTCCACCGTGACACTTACAATTGACTGGAATATCAAGCGAAAAAATTGTTCCGTATAATTCCATGAAAGTAAAGGTGTCTGCGAGAGGAATACTGTTAGTAGTGTGTTTTAAATGGTAGTCTGGTACGGGTGGTAACACTCTTGCGCTGCCCTGCCGGGCGAGGTGTAGGATACCCATTTTGTACCTTATTTTAAAGGGCTCAGTCCCTTTCCATCTTCCTGCTGTTAATGATTTTATTAATAGCGTATTCGTATGATCATTACTATGCTGTGATTATGGTTTAAAATGGAGTGTGAGAGGTGTAAATATTGAGGTAAAGAAATGATGTTTGGTGACACTGTTGCGCGTGGCGGCCAGTGCGCGTGCGCCCTGGCGGATAGAGGAGACACACACAGCCAAGCGTAGGATAATCACTCCCTAATTTAGGTATATCACTCACAAGAGCTTCACAGAATGAGTTACCCACTATCGAGAGGGATTTTTGCGCTACGCTTGTTTGTTGTAAGTTTCGGGTGAGGAGTGAGAGGCTCCACAAGTGTGGTGTGGAGTGGTGGGCGTGGGTGGTGGTGGTTGGTGGGGTGCGCGCCGCTAACCACCTTCAGTGTGCAGTGCGCTGGCCTTAGTTGCGGAACTTCGCTGCCCTTCTTCCGTGCCGTGTGTGTGAGTGTGGTGTAGTGTGGTACAGTTGTGGCGCTGCCACTGTGGTGTGTGGTGGAGGTCGGCAGGACCGTATAGCGTGGTCGGTGAGGAGTGGTAGCCGACACCGCAACCATGGGCTGTGCCATGTCTGCGGAGGAGCGCGCCGCGCAGGCCCGCAGCAAACAGATCGAGAAGAACTTGAAGGAGGACGGCATCCAGGCAGCGAAAGACATCAAACTGCTGCTGCTGGGTGAGTATGGTGATGGGTAGTGGGGGGCGGGGCGGGCCTGGTGGGGCTAGAGTGGGGTCGGGGAGGTGGGGAGGGCAGCGGCGGGGTGCACAAGGTGCCCGGGCAGTGTGGCTGCCCCAGGCTGGACGCCCATCTGAAGGGCGCCGGCATAACGGGCGTGGCACGGCTGCGCGCAGCCCGTCTATATGGGCGTGGCACTGCTGCTCCCAACCCAACCTTCCTCCGTCTCAAGGAGTCGCCTTCTCTGTTCAACACCGGGAAGAACCTTAAAAGGAATCCAACTACAAATAAAAGAGGCTTAAGAAAACGTTTCTGAAGGCGTTTATTGGTTGCCGACTTTCTGACGAGGGCGGTGGTGGCAGTGCCACCTGGCGGCTGACGGGAGAACCCGGGCGGGAAGAGGGGGACAACGGCCAGCTGACCCGGGTGCCACCAGTGCCAGGCACCACCGTCTGCCACCAGTGCCAGGCACCACCGTCTGCCACCTGTGCCAGGGGCCCCCGTCTGCCACCTGTGCCAGGGGCCCCCGTCTGCCACCAGTGGCAGGCACCCCCCGTCTGCCACCAGTGGCAGGCACCCCCCGTCTGCCACCAGTGGCAGGCACCCCCCGTCTGCCACCAGTGGCAGGCACCCCCCGTCTGCCACCAGTGGCAGGCACCCCCCGTCTGCCACCAGTGGCAGGCACCCCCCGTCTGCCACCAGTGGCAGGCACCCCCCGTCTGCCACCAGTGGCAGGCACCCCCCGTCTGCCACCAGTGGCAGGCACCCCCCGTCTGCCACCAGTGGCAGGCACCCCCCGTCTGCCACCAGTGGCAGGCACCCCCGTCTGCCACCAGTGGCAGGCACCCCCCGTCTGCCACCAGTGGCAGGCACCCCCGTCTGCCACCAGTGACAGGCTCCCCCGTCTGCCACCAGTTTTTTTTTTAAGTAAAGAGGAAGGAGAGGCATAGGTGAAGGGAAGAGACCAGTGCCTGCCACCAGTGCCAGGCACCCTGTCTGCCACCAGTGCCAGGCACCGTGTCTGGCAACTACCCGTCACTAGTCACGCTACACGACACACGCTCCCACTGTCTCCTAACACCACACCGTAATATAATTATTGGTATCAACGGTGGGAAGAAATGGCACCATCACTACCCCACCCACCCACTACCACAACCCCTCCCACCCACTACCACTACCCCTCCCACCCACTACCACTACCCCTCCCACCCATACCCCTACCACTACCCCTCCCACCCACTACCCCTCCCACCCACTACCCCTCCCACCCACTACCCCTCCCACCCACTACCCTACCCCTCCCACCCACTACCCCTCCCACCCACTACCACAACCCCTCCCACCCACTACCACTACCCCTCCCACCCACTACCACTACCCCTCCCACCCACTACCACAACCCCTCCCACCCACTACCACAACCCCTCCTACCCACTACCACAACCCCTCCTACCCACTACCACTACCCCTCCCACCCACTACCACAACCCCTCCCACCCATTTCTATGACCCCCCCCCCCCCACCCCCCTCTCTTACCTCACCACCACCCTCCCCTTACCTCACCATCTCCCCCCACCGCCCGCCTTCATTCCCCCCCCCCCTCGCCTTCATCCCCCCTCCCGCCCGCCTTCATTCCCCCTCCCCGCCCCCCCGCCTTCATTCCCCCCCCCCCGCCCTCCCGCCTTCATTCCCCCCCCCCCCGCCCTCCCGCCTTCCCGCCTTCCCCCCCCCCCCCGCCCTCCCGCCTTCATTCCCCCCCCCCGCCCTCCCGCCTTCATTCCCCCCCCCCCCCCCGCCCCCCCCTCCCCCCTTCCCCCCCCCCCCCCCCGCCCTCCCGCCTTCCCGCCTTCATTCCCCCCCCCCGCCCTCCCGCCTTCATTCCCCCCCCCCCCCTCGCCCGCCTTCATTCCCCCCCCCACACCGCCCGCCTTCATTCCCCCCCCCCCCACACCGCCCGCCTTCATTCCCCCCCCCCCCTCACCGCCCGCCTTCATTCCCCCCCCCCCCACACCGCCCGCCTTCATTCCCCCCCCCCCCCCACACCGCCCGCCTTCATTCCCCCCCCCCCACACCGCCCGCCTTCATTCCCCCCCCCCCATCGCCCGCCTTCATTCCCCCCCCCCCCCCATCGCCCGCCTTCATTCCCCCCCCCCCATCGCCCGCCTTCATTCCCCCCCCCCATCGCCCGCCTTCATTCCCCCCCCATCGCCCGCCTTCATTCCCCCCCCCCATCGCCCGCCTTCATTCCCCCCCCCCCCCCCCCATCGCCCGCCTTCATTCCCCCCCCCCATCGCCCGCCTTCATTCCCCCCCCCCCGCCCTCCCGCCTTCATTCCCCCCCCCCCACCGCCCGCCTTCATTCCCCCCCCCCCATCGCCCGCCTTCATTCCCCCCCCCCCCCATCGCCCGCCTTCATTCCCCCCCCCCCCCCATCGCCCGCCTTCATTCCCCCCCCCCCACCCAGTTCCTTCATTCCCCCCCCCCACCACCCAGTTCCTTCCGCCCCCCCCCCCCCCACCACCCAGTTCCTTCCGCCCCCCCCCCCCCCCACCACCCAGTTCCTTCCGCCCCCCCCCCCCACCACCCAGTTCCTTCCGCCCCCCCCCCCCCCACCACCCAGTTCCTTCCGCGCCCCCCCCCCACCACCCAGTTCCTTCCGCCCCCCCCCCACCACCCAGTTCCTTCCCCCCCCCCCCCCACCACCCAGTTCCTTCCGCCCCCCCCCCACCACCCAGTTCCTTCCGCCCCCCCCCCACCACCCAGTTCCTTCCGCCCCCCCCCCCACCACCCAGTTCCTTCCGCCCCCCCCCCACCACCCAGTTCCTTCCGCCCCCCCCCCCCCACCACCCAGTTCCTTCCGCCCCCCCCCCCCACCACCCAGTTCCTTCCGCCCCCCCCCCCCACCACCCAGTTCCTTCCGCCCCCCCCCCACCACCCAGTTCCTTCCGCCCCCCCCCCCACCACCCAGTTCCTTCCGCCGCCCCCCCCCCACCACCCAGTTCCTTCCGCCCCCCCCCCCACCACCCAGTTCCTTCCGCCCCCCCCCCACCACCCAGTTCCTTCCGCCCCCCCCCACCACCCAGTTCCTTCCGCCCCCCCCCCCCCCCCCACCACCCAGTTCCTTCCGCCCCCCCCCCCCCACCACCCAGTTCCTTCCGCCCCCCCCCCCCCCACCACCCAGTTCCTTCCGCCCCACCACCCAACCACCCAGTTCCTTCCGCCCCCCCCCCCCCCCCCAACCACCCAGTTCCTTCCGCCCCCCCCCCCCAACCACCCAGTTCCTTCCGCCCCCAGTTCCTCCCCCCCCCCCAGTTCCGTCACAGTGCCCCACGGAGTGTGGCAAGCGTAGGCTTACAGTGGGTGGCGCTGTATTATTGTAATGCCTCCAGAATAATATGCACTTCTGTGTTTAAAATATTTCATACAAAAATATTCAAATTGTATAGTCCTTTCTTGCATCCCCAGACGTGGCACTACAGGCGTGATGTATTGTGTCGCTCCCTCCACCTTGTGTAGCAGCACCTGCTCCACTCCACAACCACCTCAACCTCTCATTTTCCCAGTCAACCCCTCCCTACCTCTCCCCCCCCCCCCCCCGCCCTCTTCTTCTTCCCCCCCCCCCTTCCGCCCACTCGCCTCTTCTTCCCCCGCCCACCCGTCTCCCCCCCCCCCTGCCTTCAGTCTAGACCCTTCCGACCCATCTAAAAAGACCCATCTAAAACGACCTTAGTTTCGAAGCCTCCCTCATTCCCAGTGTAGCTGTTGTTATAGATTCAGCTACTGGGGAACAAAAAGTTCCAAGTAGCACGGGCTATGGTGAGCCCGTAGTGGACTTACCTGGCACAGGAAAGGGGGCTGTGACTGGAGGCCTTTTTATTATTATTATTATTATTATTAAGAGGATCGAGTGGCGCAGGTGAAGGGAAGTTTAGAAATAGGAAAGTCAGTGAGAGTTATGAAAGCAGGCGGGCTGTCCGCCTTGCTGACACGACGTGTGGGTGTTGGCAGCTAAGCTAAGCTTGCTCTCTCGTCAGGGAGCTGAGAGAGAGAGGTTCTTCGTGTGTTTCAACATATATATGGATGTCTATTGATGATATATATATATATATATATATATATATATATATCTAGGAATTATGTACTGTGGGGCGGGATTTTCATCTAGTAAATGGAGGCTCTTGGGCCACCAGCTGTGGGAGCGGGGCGTCTCACCTTGGAGTAATCTTTCTAACATTGGGTCCTCTAACATTGAGATGGTGTTCCACTGGGGGCTAGTGTACCGTCCACCGACGCTATTCTGGCCTCGCCTCCACCTCACGTTGTCTAGCCCCGATCCTCCCCAGACCCATCCCGTCTTGGCCTTAACACTGCCGCCCTTTCTAACCTTATCGTGCCTCCTTGGCATGGCGGCAATCTCGAAGGTCAGTTTTATCTGTAATTGCACATAACACGACGTTTACCGAGTTCTGGTGATAGGTGGACTGCCTTTTCTCCCATCTCCTCCCCAACACACACGCCTCCCTCCCACCTTCCCCCCCCACACGCTACTACTGGCCAACTGTCCATGGCCGCTACTGGCCAACTGTCCATGGCCGCTACTGGCCAACTGTCCATGGCCGCTACTGGCCAACTGTCCATGGCCGCTACTGGCCAACTGTCCATGGCCGCTACTGGCCAACTGTCCATGGCCGCTACTGGCCAACTGTCCATGGCCGCTACTGGCCAACTGACCATGGCCGCTACTGGCCAACTGACCATGGCCGCTACTGGCCAACTGTCCATGGCCGCTACTGGCCAACTGTCCATGGCCGCTACTGGCCAACTGTCCATGGCCGCTACTGGCCAACTGTCCATGGCCGCTACTGGCCAACTGTCCATGGCCGCTACTGGCCAACTGTCCATGGCCGCTACTGGCCAACTGTCCATGGCCGCTACTGGCCAACTGCCCATGGCCGCTACTGGCCAACTGTCCATGGCCGCTACTGGCCAACTGTCCA